CGTAGTAGTACTAACTAAACTTAAAATTAAAATTAAATTAAATAACTAAACTAAACTAAATAACTAACTAACTAACTAACTAAGTAAGTAGTAGTAGTTAGTTGTATATTATTTTTTGAGAATTATCTTTTTAATATTTTTATTAATTTCATATAATTTGAATTTGTATAAAAAAGCTAAAATTCAAAGATGAAACACAACCATAGGCATCCGATCAGCCTCAATTGAATCTAGGCCATTCGGTGTATACTATTGCATCAGCCCTTGGGCTGACAAAATCTTTCTCCACATATCTGTGTGCGTCATGCGTGTGAGTGCGTGCGTATACGCGCATGCGTGCATGGGTGTGGGTGTGGGTGTGGGTGTGGGTGTGGGTGTGGGTGTGGGTGTGGATGTGGGTGTGGGTGGGGGTGGGGGTGTGTGGGTGGATAGATAGATAGATATGAGAGAGAGAGCTCCAGATACTCTCTGATATTACAAGTTTCTGGAACACCTGCATCATCTATAGGTCTTTCAGGTGCTTTTCTTACAACTTTCCTTAATTCTATTACAACTCATTCTTCTATAAAATTTTACAGTAGGATTCTGTTTTTGATCAAATTGCACTGAAAAGATGCATATAAAAGGGCGACTAACATAACTAGAGGATAAACAGGACAATATGAGACTTCCTTTAACGTGTTAAACATAACTTGTTAAACATACCCATGAGATTGAAGAGCCGAAATGGTGACAGCTCAAACTTGATCTTTGGCAAGGAAACGAAGGCCCAAGATACAGCCCCTACCCAGGGCTCAGTTGGAACTAGCCTTAATTTGACCCATAACTCCCCATCAATATCAAAATCACGAACACCAACAGGTACCATAATGGGAATGACACTGAATTTAAGGGAAAGCATTAGCAGCATGCGAGCACCACCTGTATAGCGAAGGCCTATCTGATACCTGAACAACATGACCAAATCGATACATAAAATGGAAGGAAGTTCCTGCCTCAGATCAATAGATAATATTAGAGGGTCACAGGTCCATTTCTAGCATAACTTTGGAAGCATAAGCAATACCATTGTCAACTTAGCGTGAGCAAGATAAGTGAGCATATTTTCTAGCTTGTAGAAATCCAAGATACCAAAGGACTAAGCACAACAAACTAGTGCCAAAAAACTTTTCAATTGCATAAGACAAGAATAGCTTGATCAAGGCTCAAGATTTCAGTCTACCTCACCAAAACTGTGCACAAGAAGTATAGAAACTTTTCAATTAAATCAGCCCCAACTTAGAGAAGAACTCTGAAATTCTTCCAATTGTGGTTCATGTGAAAGCATAATTTTGTAAAAGAAACATCAAATTGAGGCACACAAAAATAGTTATACAAAATGGAAAAATGTTCAAACTACAATTTACCTAAAGATAAAATCAGCAAAAAACAAATCATTCCATTTCAAGTCACCAGTATGCTGATATAAAATGTTTCAATGTTTGAACTAAATTCTTACTCAATAATCGTTTCGAAAGGAAAAAAAAAAAAGATTAGTTGTTAGTAAGGTTTCATGCACCAATACTTCTCATTCTATGTACGTTACTGGATCAATTACATTTTTTACTTTTTATTTATTTTAATCCTAGAATATGTCAATTATTTTTAAACAATTTATAAAAATACTGAATGGTTTCTCAGTTGGAAGACAAATTTGATTATAAGCATTCACATCATCTTACAAAGTATACAACTGATACAGATTGCAACATTAGCTGAATAAGGTAGTGAAAAACAGAACTCAACACGACCAATGTGGACCATGAAGAAATCATACAAAATGCTATGAAAGCACATGTGAGATGTTACAGCTTAGATTTATCTCCTTAATCAGCAAAAGACATTTGGTCAAATAAGAGAGAGAGAGAGAGAGAGAGAGAGAGAGAGAGAGAGAGAAACGATAAGAGTGATCGGAGGGAGGGGGATGAGAAGGAATAAAGAGAAAGAAAGACCTAGAAAGAACGACACCTTGAACGCAGATAAGGTGTATGCTAAAATGGGGAAAAGAGAAAATTTATGCGAAGTAAACATTTATAAAGCTAGGCAAAACTTACTGTAGATCATTGGCACGACGAGAAGTTCGCCTCTCAACGCTCCGAACTGATAATGGCTCTTCTCCTAAAGAGAACTGCTTAATCTCAACTCTACTTACATAATCAGGCTTTTTTAAATTGTCAATGACTGGCTGAAGCAACCCACTAATCCAGTTTTCGATCCCAACTCTGTATACTTTCCACAATTTCCCCAAAACCATATTCACCCACTCCACTGTCTCCTTCCTCTGAAGATCCTTCTCTGATAATAGAGAAAACCCAGTTGGAAGTTGAGGAAAAATACCCCTTCGGGGCTCTAAACTTTGCTTGCTCCTTTTCCTTGAAGTCCATAGCTTGTCAAATAGCACCCCAATAAAGAAGAAGAATACAAAAAGGCCTGCAATGTTTCGATTAATAGGAGGAGAAGGAATTGGGTGAATTACACCCAGTTGGGTCCTTAGTTTATCGACCAAAGGGTCTTCTTGCAAGCTTGTAAAAGCCGGTCCAATCTGAACTGGCTCATTCACTTGTTTCTTGTCTGAACTAACGTTGGTATTTGATCTTTCAAAGTCTAAATCATCAGAAAACCTTCTTGAGACGAAGAATTGACCAGATTTCAAGCTTCTCGTTGCTGAATCAATCAAATTAAAATCAATCGTTGATTTTTCATTATCAGACGACGATATCATGCATGCTCCAATACTCCCACAATTCAAAGCCCTCCAGTGAATCTCACTGGAAAATAATCCTGTCAAAAACCGGCGTCCATTAAACCTACTAGTACTTCTATCCTTGCTCCTTTTCTTGTTATGTGGATGCACCACAGGCGAAAGACAACAGAATTGAGAGACAGTCCAGGCAGCTGACGCCTGTTGTAAAAACATTTAAAACTGGAGAAAAGGCAGCCCTAATTTTGAAACGGGCTGAAGCGATTGAATAAAGTGAACTGGTAAACATAGATTCAGAACCAATTATTCACCTAATCAAACCCAACCAAACTGCAAGGCTCCAATTGAATCCCTAGAAAACAGATTCTCAGTTCATGAACAGATAGGCCCAAAATTAAACAACGAGATAAATCCCGAAACCCTAGAACCCAGCCTAAAGGAGCTAAGTGGGGAGTTCCCCGGAAACCAATCAATTCAGTTCCCTGAACCACCATTTTCGGAACAAACACCCAAACCCCAGAAAATAATCCGCCATAAAACAGCAATTTGGCAAGACTTCAAGCTCTCGCAAATCGAAATGACACCCATCCAAACCATAGGAAAGGTTCCACCATTGAAACACGAGGATTGGAACTACAGAATACTGGAAATTACAGGCATTTTATAAACCATAGTTGAAGTTAGGGACAGATGAATCTACCTTATCAGGGCTGGAAGCCATCGAAGAAATAAAGAGAGAGCACAAAAAGAAGAAATACAAAAATGGAATGAAAAATTGAAAGCTTTTGGGAAATGAAGAAGAGTGGCGCCAACCATAGTGTTTTTTCTGGTCAAGAGAAGCTCGCTGTGATCCTGGATAGCCCAGGTCGGCGACACGTGGCAAACGAGTTATCGCGATGTTTGTGTGTGTTTGTACTCACGAGCAAGAAGGCTCCCGCGTTTGCGCCTCGCACCATTCCGCGTGTGGTGGTCGGAACCCAGGTCCCTATTTGGTGTTTAAAAATTAGGGCACCAGACACAAAAATATAGTGCGGCTTGGCCCTATTTTTTTTATTTTTAATCCATTATTTTATAAGGGAGTTTAAATAAATAAATTAAAGTTTTCAAATTATTAGAAAAAATAAGTTTTTATAAGATTCCAACCTTATATTATATATTATAGAAGTACCCTCCACCTCAAAAAGACAAAAATTTAAATAGGAAAGAGTATTATGAAGTGGGAAAATGCTTTCCCTTCAAGAGTGGTTATTTAAATTTAATGTTGTTGCTTTCATTAATCACGTGATGCTCTTTCCTTTCAGTGGCTACAACTCCATTTATATTTATATTGTGCTTCTATCTTTGTTAAAAGATATCATTCATAATTAGAGTAATGATCTTATGAGACCCTCCCACACCCATATATGTAGAATCTTAAAAGATCATCATTAAATTTCGCATAGATATCTAAAAAAGTTATCATACGACTGAGTTTTTTTAGAGATCTATTCCAAATTTAATGGTGATCCTTTGATGTTTTAGACACATGGGTGTGGGAGATCATTACTCTTTATAACTATTAAGTGATTTTATCCTTGCTCAAAGATTGTATGCTCTTGCTAGAGTACAAGAAAACTCTCTATGAATAGTTTTAGGACTTGAAACTTCGGGGATGTAATTGTTTTTGGGCAAGGGACTAACCTCTCAAACAAAAAGGCAAAAAATAAAATCATATATATATAAAGTATATATTTTGTTATATAAATATACCAATTTTTCTTAAAAAAGGACAATTTTGTTTTTTGGCCAAAGACGCCGAATCACCCCGAAGAGGCCAAAGCACATAATTATCTTTTTAAAAAACACTTTTGTGCTTCTGCCGAATTAGACTGAATCTACCTGAAACAAGCTGAAGCCGTTGCAGTAGAGTTTTGCTTGCTTCGGTCTAGGCCAAAAATCCAAAGGCTTTGGCCCTTTCGGTCGAAGCAAAGCAAAATTGACAATATTGACCCCTATATTAAACTAAAGCTGTCCAAATTTTTAACAATCATATCTAATTATTTAAGGACTGAAAACACAAATTTTCCCTTTTATAAATTATTGTAATTCTAAAGTGGAACTCGTAATTAATATAAAAAACAAACACAATAAATATTTGACTCGCTCTTTTACATAGGGGCGTAAGTGTATAATGTGAACCTGCCGGAGTTCACTCTTTTTCTTTTTTCTTTACAATTCAATACGTGATATATTAAATATTTATCTCCACACATGGAGAATTAGGGGTGTTTTGCATGCATGTATAAATTTGCATAACTCCTGAGGCATGGCATGGCATGGCAACTTAAAAAAATCACGTTTTGTAGTGGACAAGTGCGTGATGACTTGAACTACCGAATTTGCGAGCCCTTCACAAAAAGAGTTGTTGTGGATGTATCATACGTGATGCATCATACATCCATCACATACTAAGTAAGTTACAAGAGAATTGCTATGGATGTGTGATGCATGATATATCTTACATCCATCTTATACAAAGGTGGTCATGTGACGCAGTGAGCACTAGTTCATGGATACTTGCATTTCATGACTATGTTCCTTTTTTCATTTTTTTCCTTGTATAAAAAAAAAATAGTCCATGAATTCAGGTATCCGGACAGAGCGATTGACAAACAAATCGAGGACACTGGCAATGTAAGGAGATTTACACAATGTCATCTTGAGCATCAAATGGGATAAAAAAAAGTACGTGAAATTAATGAAAAAGCATAGAATAAGATCATTTACTTTTTGTCAAAGGAAGTTACGATTATTATTGATCATTAGATGTGAAATTGGTTAGTTATGAGTATAAAATTAATTTTGCATGAAGTCAAAAAAAAATTAACTTGAACTATGTGATACACTTTAATTTGTTGGATTTCACATCCGATAGTTAAAAGTGATCGTGACTTTCTTATACCAAGAGTGATGGTCTTACAGCATACAATCCTTATTTACTCACAAACGAAAAAATTGAAAGGATTTCAAGAGTTTGTTGGTCTCTTTCGGCCGTGTTTATAGAAAGAAATAAAGTTGAAGATTGCTTGGCTAAAGAGAGGTCCCTAACACCTCCCTCATGGTTACAACGTTCTAAATTTTTATAAGATTTCATAACCAATTTGGTGGTATAAGAAAAGTTTATAATATGAACATTTTATTTGTCTGTGGTATTGAGACCCCACAATCTAATTTAACCATTGAATGTGAAATGGAGGCAGTTGGGGAGTTTCATTAACTGAACTCAAATTCTAAAAGAAAAATTGTCGAACTTCATGACACACCAAGCTACTATATTTGACATCTAATGCCCGCAACTTCCTTGTATTAAAGGAAAATAGTCTCATGGCATAAATTCCTGGAACCATTGTATGTGTAATTGAGTAGTTGGGGGTGTTTAATTGATTACGTTGAAAGTCCATAAGAAATTTTTCCGGATTCCGACACAACCCAAGCTGCAATATTTTATATCAGATGGCTATAAGATGAATAGTGTCATGATATACAGTCCCCTTCACATATCCTGATACACCTATGCATCCATTTTTGTTAGTTGATGAAAGCCATACATTAACATCTACAAAATAAACAAAGAAACTATAGAAGTCACTATGGAGATGCGATGTGCATTATTAGCAAGCATGCATTTCATGAGAATGTTCTTATGCACATGTTGCTACCAAAAAAAGTGGTTAGTTTGGACGGCTGGACTTGTGAAGTCTATTCCATCATCATGTATGGTTTAGTGATGCTACATGTACATTGCCTAAGAACAGGAATATGGCTCTTGAAGCTTTCTTGTGTTGATTTTTTTTTTGGGTTTAGGAAAAGTATGTTACAACCACGAAGTATGCCCAAAAAGATGTAGTTAGAAGTAGTCCGAAAATATATGGGACTTATGATCATTTAATAGAGTAAAATAGTGTATTAGGATTCGTGTAACCGACCCCAATTAATTAAAAAAAAGATATACGACGACTCTCGTAATATGATCTCCTAAGTGCCTGTAGTCAAGCCCATGCAAACTAAAAAAAAAAAATTACCAAAATACCTACAAGACATGAACTATATAATATTTTACCCATGTCTGTGATTAATTTAAAAATAAACATTAGAAGACACATGATCATGACATGTCATGGAACGGTTGCAAAAGCGTAAATTGTTAACTAATTAATCTCTTGTGTATGGGTTGATAAATTTCCCATATAAGAAAGATGGTGTACAAGGAAACAAAAACTTTTGTTGGTTGTTATCTGAAAATTGGATCAAATGAGTATCCATGTTCACTTCCTCGTGTGAAAGCATGTATGCCTCTTGGTTTTTCTCCCTAAGAACACAATTAAAATGGATTATCTTATCATGCCTCAAGCTTTTAATTTCACCAGGGAATTGGGTGAAGAATCACCAGGAGGCCGACAAGATCGGCGGCACCATTGGACTACTTTGCCAAATCCTCTTCCACAACGACACTGCGGTGTTAAGAAGTTAAGCACAGGAAAATATACTATTCTCGTGTTCTTTATGAGAGACAGGTAAAAGAGGTTGATTCTCTCATAGGGGCCATGTAGCTTCTCTTATTTGCCAATTGGGAAGCTACTAGGAACTTTGAAAAACATTGGAAAAACAGGGGTCGACTTTTCCACATTTTTGTGGAAACACGCAACTAACTCTTTTGGAGGTTAGCTGCGGGTCTCTAAAAAATGGGGAAGAGGCCACCCCTTTTCCCCCACATGTTTAAGTAAAAAAAGTTGCCCCCTCCCCCACTATAAAAGTTTTGTTTTGAAAACATAAAACCGTACGTTATTTAGTAAGAAAAGTATCCCATCCACATCATGATGTAGGTGTATGTTTACAAACATAACTAAATAAAAATGATTAAAACATATTTTAAATAAAAAATCAAAATGCCTCTAAAATTTATCTTGGTCAATATTTTCAAATTATTTTTTTGTTAATGTTATTCAACCTTATTTATAAAAATGAACCTAAAACCGAAAATTTCGGATTAAAATCATCTTTACATAAAAATAAAAAATAAAAAATGAGATTCATTATTGACCCTTGGATGAACATAGTTCAATCTGAACCATTAAAGTGTGCATGTGCATCTTTTAAGCATCCACATGTTGTGGACCCAATACCAACCCAACCCGATTAATATGAGACTTCCCATAAATTTTTTTTTTTAGCTTAACCCACTTTGAACCTCTAGGGTGAACCCACCTTGTGCCTCTCTCTCTCTCTCTCCCATAGTCTCTCTTGCTCTCTTTCCCCCTGTAGCCTCTTCTTTAAGATCCTACACCTCTATATCCCTCAAAATGCACTCTCTCTTTCTCACACACCCGCCCCACTCTCTCTCTCCCATAGTCTCTCTTGCTCTCTTTCCCCCTGTAGCCTCTTCTTTAAGATCCTACACCTCTATATCCCTCAAAATGCACTCTCTCTTTCTCACACACCCGCCCCACTCTCTCCCTCTCTCTCTTAGAGTCCCTCTCTAGTGCTTACTTCTCTCTCTTAGGGTACGTTTGACACAGTTTTTGGGAGCAGAAAGGAGTCTTTTACAAATTATGGAAGACCACCATTCCTTTATTCTTCATTGATTGGAGGTCTTTCAAAAATGGATCCATTTTGATGTTAAAAGAGTGCTGTGAGAGAGGCTGCCCTTCCACTTTGCAGCTTCTACGCCGTAATATCAAACATGAGTAAGACATTCAACTCTCACATCCGAAAACTTCCACTTATCAAACACGCCCCTAATGACATTTCTACGTCCTAGAGCTTATTTCTTTATATCCGAAAGCATCTCTTTCTATTCCTTCAAGAGCCTCTGAATCTCTTCCCACAAGAGCATACCTCTCTCTACCTTAAGAGCCTCTCTCTTTATCAAATAGCCTACCTCTCTTTCTATATCCTAGAG